TTTATTTGTTTGTTTATTTATTTATTTGTTTGTTTGTTTTTTGCGGGGGTACCAGAGATTACACTCGGGTGCTTAACCACTGAGCCACTTTCCCAGCCCTTTTTATTTTTTATTTTGAGACAGGCTCTCTCTAAATTGCTTAGCGCCCCGCTAAATTGCTGAGGCTGGCTTTGAACTTGCAATGCTCCTGCCTCAGCCTTCCAGGCTGCAGGGATTACAGGCCTGGACCACCAGGACCGGCTGAGTCCTGACCTTAACAGGAATGAACATAACGGACACAGCACTCTCCAGTGCCCCACTGCTGCCCCTGAATTTCCAGCCGCGGTAGTAGCTCTGTCCTCTCTGTCATTGGGCTCTTTTCTTTCTTCCTACCTTCCTTCTAAGATCCTCCAAATCCATTTTGGCCTTTTTCTACCCACAACCAGAGCCCAAGACAGCGAGGACAGCCTGGGTGTCAGAGCACTTGATTCTAATGCTGCTATCCACTACCGCCACTGGTCACAGGACTTTTGCAGGTAGGAGTGAGTTGGAGATTACGGTGACAGTGACATGCCCTTAAGCATTCGGGCAGAGATATGCAAAGCTGCAGAGAGATAAAATGGCTTCCCCACAACAAAGCTAAACTCCATTCAGGATTAATATGTCTAAAGAAGGAATGTGCCCTTCAGGAGTGGATGGGGGGTGGGGAGGAAGAGATGCTGTCAGTCTCAGAGCCATAGAAAAAAAACAGAGTAAGTTAATTCATTCATTCTAGATCCTCCTTGGCGCGGTAGCCCAAGCCTGTAATCCCATCAGCTCAGGAGGCTGAGGCAGGAGGATTGCAAGTTCAAAGTCAGCCTCAGCAATTTAGCAAGGCCCTAAGCAATTTAGCGAAACACTGTCTTGAAATAAAAACTAATAACAAAAAGGGCTGGGGATTCGGCTCAATGGTTAAGCCCCCTGGGTTCAATCTCCAGGACCAAAATGAAAATCAGAGCAGTCAAAGGCCTTTACCGTTCAAGGTGTCAGCTGGCCTCATCCCTCCTGCAACTGGAAGGAGAAGGCTTCCGGTGGGCGAAGACTCCTCTTTCCTTCCCAGAGTCAGTAGAGCCCTGACTGACCTTTGGACTCCAAGGTAGCTTTTAGCTCAAACCCTGGCTTCCCATAGACAGGTCTTCTAGGGGGAAAAAAAAAAAAGTACTTACAACCTAGGTATCATTTTACTTTTCCCAGTAAATAAATATAAGGGATATAATATGAACAATATTAACATCCATATCTTAGAGCTTGAGTAGAGGAGCTCCTGCCCCAATGTTGAAGTGGCCCTGGTAGGTGGGCTGACTCCATCTCTGCACCTGCCAGAGATTACTACTGTCCCTCGCCCAGCCTCCACTTACCCAACTATAAAATGGACAGGCTACTTCCGACTTCCAAGGTGGCTATGGAAACCCAGATGAGATAAAATATCCAGTGGCCACAAGGCTCATCACTTCAACCTTCATTTCCTAACAGAGACCCTCATTCCCACCCCTTTTTAAACAATTCAGATCTTAAAAATACTGAATGCTTCACAAGTCTGCGTGCTGCCCTTGCACAGGGCAGTGCTAATCTCTTTATGGCTCCAGGTTTTATACATGGGTTGTCCAGGTGAGCGTCCCAGCCTCCCCGTTCCCACCCTCATCCCCCTACCCACGTGCTCTAGACAGGCACCACCCTTTCGTTTGTTTGCAGAACTGGGGTTGAACTCCAGGGTGCTCCACCACTGAGCTGCACCCTCAATGCTTCTTATCTTTTATTTTTTCCTTGAGAACAGGGTCCCCCTAAGTTACTGAGGCTGGCCTTCAACTTGCTGCCCTCCTGCTACCATCTCCCAAGTCGCTGGGATTACAGGTATGGACCACCGCACCTGGCTCAAGACCACTCTCAAACACAGTTCTGATCATGTCCCTCCCCTAAATAAGACCAAGCTCCTTAGCCTGCATCCCAGACCCCCTGGCTATCCCTAGGCTCAAAACGGAGGACTCCACATCCCCAGAAGCAGGAGTGTCCTTGTCCTGCTGAGGGAGGCAGCTGCCTCTGGTTAGCATGACCCCCTTCTCCGCCTGAGGAACTGCAGACAAGCACCTCTCAAGTTCAAAGTTCAAAGGTCACAGGTCACTTCCCCCTTCAAGGCTTCCCAGTCTCCCTCTGCCAGGTGAGTTCTCCTGCCGACCCACAGGAGCCTTTGCTTTCTTACCATAGCACCCAGAGCTACTCTGCCTTTTGCGGATGAGTTTTATTTCCCTACTGAAATGTGAGCACCCGAGGACAAAGGGGACCCATCATCTCATGTCCCATAACTCACCACTCAGCCTGTCAACACATTTTGAAAGTGTTTGCACTTATTTATTTATTTATTGGTACTGGGGATTGAACTCAGGGGCACTTGACCACTGAGCCACATCCCAGCCTGCTTTATTTTTTTTATTTTGAGATAAGGTTTCACTAAGTTGCTCAGGGCCTTGCTAAGTTGCTGAGACTGGTCCTGAACTTGCAATCCTCCTGCCTCAGCCTCCTGAGCCACTGGAATTACAGGCATGCCTCACCGAACCAGGCTATCTCCAACACTTTTTATTTTTTATTTTGAGGCAGGGTTTTGCTAATTTGCCCTGCTTTTAAAAAAATGCAATATATTATTATTAATTATGGTCATATTGTTGTAAAATCTGCCAGCAGACTTTTAGATTCGATGTTATTTTTCGCACCATTAAGAAAAAAAAAAATTCACCTGTGATCCCAGAGATTTGGGAGGCTGAGGCAGGAGGATCACAAGTTTAAGACCAACCTGGAAAATTTAGTGAGACCCTGTCTCAATATAAAAAAAGAATTTGATGTTATTTATCATTCTTATGCATTATACTCACACACACACACACACACACACACACACACACAAGTGCATATATATATAACATCAGTTGACCAAGGCCTTCATACTCACACTGACCAGCACCTATCCAAAAGCATTTATAAGAGGCTGATTGCAACCTCTATCCCAGTTTTAGAGATATCAAAATATCAGGGGAAAAATATGTCATAAATTTTAAAAAATATATTCTGTCCCCTTCTAGACTAGAGTCTGGGTCATAGTAGATGCTCAAATTTTTCAGACTTCCTATTGGCTTGTGATATGCCTGCCTCAAGCCAATCAAAAGTAAGCATCACCATTTCCATATTGCCTAGGACTTCTCACATGTGTCCAGGCTTCCAGAATGACAGGTTGAACCACAGAAGGTCTTGTGAGGGTGCAGGGGGCGATCTGGAGACAAGGGAGCTCAGAGGAGATCCTGATTTCTGAATAGAAGGGAGCACCAGGAATGGGGTGTCATTGGGCAGATAGGAGCCAGAGGTCAAGTCCCTAATCTCTCCTGATTGATATTCACAAAATCAAGCCAAGACAAGGAACTTTAGGGCACAAAACTTTGACCCTTCGTGTTTTTATATGTGTGCCAATTTTTGAACCCCTATATCCAGAATGAGGAGTATGCTCTATGTTTGGGCTCTGGCTACTCCTCTTTACCTCAGTGAAGTTCAAGTTGGAAAGAGGAGTCTCCAAAAGGAGACATGTAAATGTACTTTTGTTTGAACAAGTTGAACTAAATTTAATTTGGCTGATCTTGGATTTGCAAAATACACCCGCATGCAGACATTACCTGGGGGAGAAAATGCCCCCGTTGCCTGGTGTTGCATTTTAAGCCTAGGTAAATTCAGGTGACCGCTCTCAAGCCCTAACATTGGGCTGCCCTCAGCCTCAGCCTGTGCACAGAGGATGGTGTCAAAGCTGGGGCAGAGTCTACTCAGCCAAGATGCCTGACAACACACAGAACAGAAGAGGTGGAGGAGGCCTGGCTTCTCAGAAGAGTGCTGAATTCAGAGGCACGGAACCACGAGACTGTACCTCTCCAAGCTTCAGGTGTGAGATGGACCCTGGGCTGGGGATGTAGTTCATGGTAGAGCACTTACCTAGCATGCACAAGGCCCTGGGTTCAATCCTCAATACTGCAAAATAATAATAATAATAATAATAATAATAATAATAATGGAGCCTGTGACAGCTCTCACTCTCCATGGACAGGAGTGACTGTGTCCATATTTCATAACCCATGTGGCAGAGTAATGGCCACAAGTTGTATTAAAGCAGGTTCCTGGGGATCCCTGTTGTGTGCAGAATTTACTCCAGCTGCAGTCCCATAGGGAGGAGGAGCAGGGGCTTCCAGGGAAGGAGCCACTCTGATGAGGGGCACTTAGTGGTGTCAGGACAGTGGCCTTCTATTTGCACAGTTAAAGAATACTGGGCACAATGGCACACGCCTGTACCAGCTGGGGCAAGAGGATTGCAAGTCCACGGCCAGTCTGTGCAAGTTAACAAGACCCTGTCTCAAAAAAATAAAAAAGGGGCTGGGGCTGTAGCTCAGTGGTAGAGCACTTGCCTAGCACATGTGAGGCCCTGGGTTCGATCCTCAGCACCACATAAAGATAAATAGATAAAATAAAGGTATTGTGTCCATCTACAACTAAATTTTAAAAAAATAAATTAAAATTGTTTAATAATTAAAAGGGACTAGGGGGTGCAACTTAGAGGCAGAACACACCTAGGTTCAATCCCTAGTACTGAAAAAAAAAAAAAAAAAGAACGAACTTTCATTTCAGGAGGATGCAGTTGGAGCAGCAGGGGAAGAGTGACATGTCATGACAAAGCCATGATGCCCAACAGCCTTCTTCACATGGGACACAAGATGGTTGGGGATCCAGCCCCTGCCTGCTGCTTCTCTGTCACTGCAAACACCCCCCACCATTCCCCTTCCAGCCTGGACTCACTGGGCCTCAATATCCCCAACCCAACTGCCCACCCACCCATCCTCGCCCGCCGTGCTCCCCGGCCTTCCCCAGTACAACCCCACATCCCTCCAAAAAGCTGCTTCCATCGCTTCCACTTCTTGAAGGCTCCCTCCTTTGCCCTCCTAACCCCTCACCACACTTACTCTCCATTTCAATTGCTGCTTCTTTTCTTTTCTTCCTAAGCTTTATAATGCTACAGTTTACACAGCAATCTTTCCAGAGTCTTTTCTTCCACGGGACTGTCTGAATCTGTTGTCATCATGGAGCATTCAACAAATGTCTGCGATAGATAAAGAAAGAAAGGGAGGAAGGATGGAAGGAAAGAAATTCACTTCCATTCTCAATTTCTGAACCTGGCCAAAAATGATGTGTTCACTATGAAAAAGTGAGTCTCAGAGGTCCAGTTTTTGAGTTCCAGCCCTACAACGGATCAGGTGTGGTCCGTGGACACATCGGTTAACTGACTAGGATCTGATCTGGGTCTCAGATTCCTTCCACTTTGCAGATGGCCAGGATCCTCAAGTCAAGAGTTCAGAAGCAGAATAAATAGTACATTAGTGACCTTGCTCTTCTATTTCCACATCCCTCATTGGGTCTCCACTTATGTGAATAGAGACTGATGCAAAACATATTTCTTCTCATTTTTATACCCTGGAATGTAAAATTGAGAGGCTGAGAGGGAAAGAAACAAGAGATGCTGAATTCTTTCTACACATGATACAATGAAGTTGAATAATGTGAGGTTTTAATTGTTCTGTAACCAGAGGGCTCTATTGAATAGCAAGGCTAGCAAACTCCATTGGCCCTCTCTCTTTCTCTGCAAGGCAATGAGATCCTAGGTTCTCAAGGGCAAACCGGCCAACCGCCTGCATCAGTCATTCTCTATAATGAGGCTCCTCCATTCAGACCCCATTTTCTAGTGCACAATTCATTTCATTAAACGGCCGCAGCTGCAATTAGGAGTGGGGGAATTCAGGCATATGTTTGGGTTCGAGATGCGTCCTGTGTGATTTTTCAAATACTTTGGGTTTGGCAAAAGCCAAGACGCATTCTGTCAAGTTCTTTTTCCCCTTCGTTTTTAAACCCGTGTGTATTCAAGAGAAATGTGGTCCATCTGATTCTCATTCCGTTTCTCTTGACTCAACAAAAAGTTGTCTTGGAAGCACTAGAAAATGTCCAAGCAGCAAATCTAGCCCCTTTAATGGAAGCCTTGTTAGAATCTCTTTCTGTGGATCCCAGACAGCTTGACATTGCCCCAATGGCTGAGCATCCCATTTCTCTATGCCCTTAACTCTTGCCCTTTCCCCTTCCCTGCCCGTTGACTCCTCATCCTCCTAGTCCATCCCGAGGATGTCTCCTGTGTGCCAGCTTTCTTCCTGCCCAACCTGCAAATAACTGCATGGTTCTCTGAGCTTCTGCTACCCCTCACCTGCAGGGCTAACCAGCCCTTTCTTCCATTCCCACTCCGTGCTGCAGCCCATTGGTGAACCACGTTAGCCAAGCCCTCCCTGATGTCTGCTTCAGTGTTAAGCCCTTGACCTTAATTAAAGGCCTTCACAAGAAATGGCAGACAAAAATTGGCATTTGTGGTAAAGCCCTTGCCAAAAACATTCATTATTGTGTCTATCAATGTCCCTCTGTGGGCTTCCAGGTGAGAAGTGAACTTGAGGTTTAAGGACCAAAATAACCATGGACTTCTTCCTCTCTGATGGTGAGAGCTATGGAACCTAGCTTGTTCCGTTTTTTTTTTTTGTTTTGTTTTGTTTTTGTCTCGGCTGCCAGGAAGATGAGCGACAGATTTGATGCTCAATCATAGCAACTATATCATAGGCTAGCTTCCCATTTTTTAAAATAAATAGCGAGCTTGATTTTCTATTTCTCTATTATTGAATTTATAGAGAAAAAAAACCCATATTATTCACAGAATCATTTCCCAGTGTCTGTAGAGCAGCAGAGTAAGTTATTGAGAAGCTGTTCACGTCATCTCCAGCACCAGCAAGGAAAAAAAAAAAGGAGAAGCCATTGGCGACGGCTTCTTCTGTAAAACAGGTTTAGGTTTAGCATTGGAGAGACAGGAAAAGGAGAGAATCTTAGACATCTTAGGAGAGAATGTCATGCTTTGGACCAGATAATCCCAGATTCAAAGCTGGGCTCTGGCTGGGAACACGGCACTAAGGGGGGCAGTTCTTTATCTGTATAATGGGGCTTTATCCCCTCTTGTTTTATGATTGTTTTGGTTCAGGGACAAGCTGCTTAATACTGCAAATTGCCTTCCTTTTACTTGTGAATGTTCATGAGAGGGAGAGGATATTGTGTGCCCAGCACAACAGAGGAACAGAAGGTTCCTCTGCAGGAGAACATGGCAGAATGGAGAAGATAAGATGAAAAGTGAGAGTCTATGCTCAAAGGATGCAATAGTCCTTACCTGTCAGTCAAAGAAACCACAGTTTATTTATTTTTAAAAATTTTTTGGTACCGGGATTGAATCTAGGAGCACTTAACCACTGGGCCACATCCCCAGCCCTTTTTAAAAATATTTTATTTAGAGACAGAGTCTTGCTGAGTTGCTTAGGGGCTTGCTAAGTTGCTGAGTCTGGCTTTGAATTTATGATCCTCCTGCCTCAGCCTCCCAAGCCACTGGGATTACAGGTGTGCACCATCACACCGAGTGAAACTGCAGTTTAAATACATTTTGACCCATCACTGAAAACAACACATGAATGATGGAAGAAATAAACCTGCATTAGCTTTTAGCATCTAAATTGTCCTGGAGTTGTGGTACAATGTTCCTGTTTGCTTTTTGGCGCTAGGGATCTAACCCTGGCCTAAGCATGAGCTCTGCCACGGAGCTACATCTCCAACTCTTTCCATGGTTTTTAGTAAAATGGAAAAAAGTACCACTGCTGGGACTCAAGATGATTTTATATTGCACGCAGAGAAACACTTACACACTTACTATTGCAATTATTAGGCATTAAATATATTACGCATCATAAAACACTGAGTTAGCACATCCAGGTTGCAACACTACATGCTTTCTGGTGAAGTATGTATTCAAGTTTAAAAAAAAATTAAAAATTGAGTGGATTTAACCAAAAAAAAAATGAATCATTTTCAAAACTGGTAGGACACACAAAAATAGTTGGAGTTCTAGAATCACCGAAGTGTGGAAAATAGAACTTCAACATCTGGATCTTGAATAACTATTTGACTTAAGGGAAGTCACCACACTGGGCCCCTCAACTTCTGGCTCCAAGTCACTTGTCCAGAGGTTCTCCCAACCCTCCTACAGCCCTCTACGTGGGGCCCCACCGGGCGGCGTGTGAGCCCACCTACACACCTTGCTCTCTCCTTCCCGTTAAATCTTCTGCCTAGACACCCCTCTTCCACACCAGCCAGGCACACCCTGGGCAGAATCAGTCTTCTGGGTGCTCTTGTAACCATGAGAACCCTTTCTGTTAACGTCAAACTTGGAACCTTTTATTGCAATGTCTTTTAGGGTGTGTCTCAGGCACTGTCAGGTTTATCTCAAGTCCCAAGTCCCTAGCCTGGAGCATTCCATGAAGGAAAGAAGGAAGGAAGGAAGGAGGAAGGAAGGAGGAAGGAGGGAAGTGGGAAAAGGGGAAGAATTGAGGAAAGGAGGGAAAGTCATGGTGACCCTGCTAGGCTTAGAAATTTAAAGGGCACAAATATTTATCTTAATCATTTATTGCGGCTCAGATGCCACTCTCCTTGCTCATGCAAGTAGGCCAGCTCTCCCTGTTACAAGCCCTACAAAGCTGTGTGCTACTGTTTGGATCATAAGCATCCTTCAAAAGCCCATGTGTAAAATGCTTCTTCCCCAGGTTGGCGCTACTGAGACACAGTGGGATCTGCAGGAGGCAGAGCATGATGAGCACCTTCGCAAGGTGAGTAGCTTCTTCTGTCACAGGCTCTGCCATGTCACACTGCCTCGCCATAGACCCCAAAGCAAATGGGCCAAGTAACCATGGACTGAAAGCTCCAAAACTGGAAGCTAAATAAACCTTTCCTCTCTTTAAGTTGATTATCTCGTGTATTTTGTTACAAGAATAAAATGCTGACTGTGACATCATGCATCCTCCTTTGTAGCAGTTATTGCAGTTTGTCTTTTATATCATGATGATTTTATTAATATTTTCTTCTGGAAATAGACGGTAAGCTCCCTGGAAATTGAGATTGCATTCTTATTTATGTTCCCAGCCTTGCAAACACATAGCTGGCACTCCCTAAATATCAGCTACACGTCCACACAGTTGATCTTGTAACTTTTACCTAGCTGAATAGATTATGGAGGGGCAGGCAGTTGACAAAGACCAGAATCAACCCTCCTGTTTGTCTTTTCAGGCTGATTCCAGTGCTTTCCAGCTACAAGAAGAAAAATTCAAAGTGGTAAATGGAGCACTTAAACTTTTAGGGCCCGATGAGGACGTGACACAGAACAAAAATAAAACTTTAAAAAGTATACAGCCAGGTGTGGCAGTGCACACCTGAAATCTCAGCTACTTATACTCAGAATTAATTGGAGAATTAATCCAAACAGGGGCTGGGGATGTGGCTCAAGCAGTAGCGCGTTCGCCTGGCATGCGTGCGGCCCGGGTTCGATCCTCAGCACCACATACCAACAAAGATGTTGTGCCTGCCGAGAACTAAAAAATAAATATTAAAAATATTCTCTCTCTCTCTCCCTCCTCTCTCACTCTCTCTTAAAAAAAAAAAAAAAAAGAATTAATCCAAACAGGATTGGATGCGCATAGTAGGAAGACAATTCTGGCAGCAGGAGAAGCCTTGCTCAGGAGGGGAGAGGTGAGAGGCCCTTCAGAAATCCAGCCATAGTACTAGTCTGAGCCAGGCAAGAGCAATAGGGCAGAAGGCTGACTCAAGATGTGGGAAGGAGACTGCAGAAGACTTGGGGACGGCTTATATGTGGGGTCTTGGGAGGAGGGATAGTCAAGGAGGACACTAAGTATTTTTCATTTCTTAAAATGAAAAAATACTGTTTTTTAAAAAATACAGTGGTAAAGCCTGTAGGTTCAATTTCTAGTACCACCAAAAAAGAAAAAAAAAATATTCAGTAAAGGAGTATTGATCTTGTTCTTTCAATAATTTTCCGAGCCATCAAGGAAAAAGAGGACCCAGGCAACTAAGGAACATATAAATATGCTGACAGGTTCTCAAAACTGGGAGAAGTCTGAGACCACAGGAAGAAAGGAGGAATAATTGGTGTTATATTAAAATGAAGGCAAAGCCACTCTAAGAACA